TCCTCATGCAATGTCTTCTGGATTAATGAGTGGATGAGGTCAAGCCACAAGTCAGAGTTTCTAGGGAATTGGCTCATGAAAGTCAGCAAGTGGCCCTGGGAAACTAACACAGTAGCCTATCTGTGAATAAATAAGAGGAATGGGAAAAAATTGGGGGACACAAGTTACCAGAAGCTTTATCTGATTTCTAGGACAAGAGAAGACAGACAACAGCAAAAGAATAATAAAAACACATATGGAGATTCAATTTTAGCTCTCATCCCAAAGAAGTTCTGAAATTAAAAAACATAATTTTTGAACTAAACACTTTAACAGGTAAATTGAAGAAAAGAATCTCTTCTGTTGGGACCTGAATCAGTGGCCTGGAAGATCAAGTGGAAGAAATATCTTAAAGCAGAGCAAATATACGAATGGCAAAAAATGTAAAGAAAAAGATAAGCAACTTGAGCAGTGATCAAGGAGACCTAACATATGAATAATCAGTGTTCCAGATAAAGAAAAAGGAAGAGATGGAGGAAAAGTAATAATCAAATAAATGTTAGAAGAAAAGTTGCTGAGCTGAAGAAAGACTTTGAATTTGCAGATTAAAATGCAGGATTGATGAGAAAAGACAAAAACTTAGGTGTAACTTGATAGAAATCTAGAACTCCAAAGATAAAGAGAAAATCTTACAATCATCAGGAAAGAAAGAGCAAGTTATTTACAAAGGAAAAAGAATGAGGCTGACATCAGACTTCTCCTCTGTAACACTTGGAAGCCAGAAAATGAAGGAATAACACCTACAGATGACTGAGAGGAAAGGCTGCAACTCAGAGGCCTTGCATCCAGCCAAAATTCCATTTACCTGCCAGGGGGCAAGAAGCTTTGTGGACATGCAAAAAGTCAGGGAATATATTATTCATAATCTTTCATATATTATTTAAGAAAAACACTCAAGAAAGAGTTATAAACAAATAATAGATGAATCGAACAAAGATTGCAAGACAGGGGAAGATGAAGATAAGAGTAACCAGTAATAAAAGGTAATGTGTTGAATATAAATAAAAACCAAACCAAACCCGTTGCTGTCAAGCCGATTCCGACTCATAGTGACCCTATGGGACAGAGTTGAACTGCCCTGTAGCGTTTCCAAGGAGTGCCTGGTGGATTCGAGCTGCCGACCTTTTGGTTAGCAGCCATAGCTCTTAACAACTATACTACCAGGGTTTCCATAAACTGCAAATAGACAATGATAGAATTACTGGGAATGTTAATATAGGGGCTAAATAAGGATTCTTGAAAAACGATAAGGCATATTTTTGCAGGAGCAAAGAATTAAAATTAATAAACAAAATCTAGGGATGAGAGATAACTGGAGAGAAGTAAAAAGTGTTTTAAGGTCTGGGGCACTGGGGAGGGGAATAGTGAAAGTATTATAAACGCTTTATTTCTTTAAGGTAGGGAACGAGCATTAGAGAAATGGCGTATATTGGCAGAATAATAGTGACAGATCTTTTTGATCATGAGTGTTGGGAAAGGGACAGTAACCACTAATGGAATGGAAAAGAACAGTAGAATTCACAAATTAACAAAAGGAAGAAAGAAAAAAGTAGTAATATGATCAAACTTGCAAAACAAGGAAAATTAAAAATCAAAAGCTATATGAAAAATAAATAGTAAAAAAAGAGCAAGCTAGAAGAAATAAAATAATCATATTGATTGTTATACTAAATGTTAACAGGCTGAATTATCCTATTAAATCATAGAAACACTAAGATTAGCTTAAAAAATAAAACATAGCTGTATGCTATTTTTAAGAAATCTGTTTAAAAGAAAAATGTAAAGGTTAAAAACAAAGGGATAAGAAAATACCTGAAAGAAAGCAGGTACGGCAACATTAATGTTGGATAAAACAGAATGGAGATTAAAAACACTAAGTAGGATAAATATGGGTCTTTTGTAATGGTAAAAGACAAAATTTATGAGGAATCAATGATAGTAATAAATCAATAGGTATCAAACAACGTAGCAGCTAAATATACAAAGCAAATCTTTTAGAGAGAACTTAATAACACTATCCATTTATAGCGTGATTTTTAATAAACTTTTTCAGAATTAAGATTCCATAGGCAAAAAATAAAATAAGGACATAGAGGAACTGAATAACTAAATTAGCAATTCAATTTAATATACATTTCCTTCAAATAAAAAATTTGCATTTTTTTTATGTCCAAAAATCAATCAGGTACTTGGTTACAAAGAAAAACCTATAAAATTTTAAAATAGAGATTTTATAGGGCATATCCTCTGTTTATAATCCAATAAAACTAGATATATAAAATTTAAAAAATACCAAAAGATTCCTAAGTGCTAGAAATTAAGAAATCCATTCTTAAATAATCATTGGATCAAAGAAGAAATCAAAACTAAAATTACAAATTATTTAGAAATCAATGAAAGTAGAATACTTTATTTCAAAGCCTATGGTACACAGAAGCCCTGGTGGCAAAGTGGTTAAGAACTCAGGCTGCTAATGAAAAGGTTTGGCAGTTCAAATCCACTTTGGAAGCCCTATGGGGCAGTTCTACTCTGTCTTATAGGGTTGCTATGAGTTGGACTTGACTCGATGGCAACGGATTTGGTTTTGGGTATGGTACACAGCTACAGCTGCACTCAGGAAAAATTTAATAGTCTGAAATGCTTTTATTGTTAAAAAAGACGGATATAAAATGAAGAAATTTTACATCAATATTAACATATTAGAAAAAAAGAAAATTTAAATAAACCATGAGAAAACAGGAAGAAGAAATCAATAAAATAGAAAACTAACCAAAACAAGTAGAAAGGACAAATAAGTCTGAAATGGCTTCTTTGAAAAAGCCAATAAAATGGATGAACCCTCACAAACCTGATTAAAGAAAAGAGACCAAAACTATACAAGATTCGAAAAGAGAAAGGAGACAAAACCACAGATACAGGAAGATGAAAATTATTATATGAAAACATCATGAGTAACTCTATGGAAAAACATTTTAAAAGGAAAGAAAATAAATTATTTCTAGCAAACATAAACTCTCAAAGTTGACCCTAGAAGAAGTGGAAAACTTGATTATGTCAACTACCATAGAAGAGAATGGAAAGAAAATTCCAGATCTACCATTTAAAAATGCAGCAGGATAAGACCATTTCATGGCTGATGGTATGGTTCATGGCTAAACTCATCAGTGTCGAAGGAGAGGAGATAAAAATGGTGAGGTCAAAAGGAGAGGAGATGAGACGATTGGGGGAGGAGCCAGTAGGTAGAAGGAAGGGGGTGTGATGACCTCCACTAAAGCCTTCCCCTCCCTATACATTTCTACTCCCTTGAATGGTTTCAAATTTATGTTCAACATGGGTACTACCATTTGTACAACCAAGAGCTGTCAGTAATTTGGGGGTGATAGTAGAAAACAGTTGGAACTAGGATCCCAAAGCTCTACTCTTTCTCTTGAATGGTTGCTCCCTGCAACCTCATGTTGTTAGTGTGAATCTGGACATCCAGGGTTCCTGTGCCTACTTATTCTGTGGGTCAGTGAGATGGGAAGTCCTGGTTAGGGTGAGACAAGATCACTCCAGGAAGCTCTCCAGTCCCACTAGACTATTTGGGCTACTTCAGAGGCCATCTGGGCATCTGTCCCTGGCCTCTGGGCAGGGTAATTGGCTTTGTGCAGACTTTTCTTAGAGGGGTGGGGATTTTTCACTTCTGCCCCATCCTTATCCATGCCCATGGGAGGGATGCAGTCTCTGTCCACCAGCCAGACAGAATGAGTTTTTTTCAGCCTACAGGAGGAGTTCCTCTAGTTACATTTGGGAAATACCATCAATTTTCTGCCTCTTAGCCCACAAAGATGGTGATAAAACATTTCATCACTCATATACAATTTCTCTTGGCAAGCTAATTCAGTGATTAGCAACACTTTATTCAGGCAGTTCTTTCTTATTACGAAGTAGGAGATAATTTGATTTTCTATTTTCTACATAAATATCTGATCATATTGATCATAGTGTAGAATAGAGAATTTCTGGGATTCTGTGGTTTTTTTCAGACTTGCTGGACATACTGATTCCTTTTTCTGAGTAGCTTTGCTTTTATCTATTTGTAATGAAGTTAAATTTCAATTCCTGTCGGGGATAAAGTGGGAACATGAGGGGGAAAACCCCACATACTTGTGACCAGTGGTACTTTGTAAATGACATACTATGAAGTGGGTGGGAAGAGAAGGGACAATCTTGTCCAAGGGAACTGACAGATTTTTTTCATACACAAATAGTTTCACTTTCTCGGGAATCCAATAAAAAGCATGGCTAAAAGACAGTTCCTATTCAAACCCTGTGCTTTGGGTGGAGATTAATGGAGAAGGGAAGGTCTTTTCTAGGGCAATTTGGCCACAGTGAATCAATGGGGTTTCTGGTTTGGTTATCTTTGGTTAGGATATGTTGGGGGTCTCTCCCCCATTTTGGGTAATTGAGCCCCCTCTGGAAGTCTGGCAAGGAAGTGAAGTCGCTGTCCTCCATTATAGAAGAGACTCATGTATCACAGGATGGTGGGACCACATGAACTTCAAATGCCCTTCTAGCCCTGAGATTGTATGAACCTCCCTGCTCTTCTTGCCTAGGAACATCTATGATCCAGTTAAACAAGCCAAGGTCATCAATTAATCACCTTCCCAAAAGACTAAATAATGTTTTTGTTTTAAGTCAATGGCATTTAAAACACAGTCCTCACTTATAACTCCAGCAAGCCCGTTACCAACTTCCTCTAATGTCCTACAGAGGAGAGTTATGGAGATTTAGGCAGAGAGAGAGAGAAAATCAGCTTCTGGGAAAGAGAGTTACAGGTTCATTTGGGTCCACACAGGCTCAAGGAGAGGCAAAGAAGTGCTGCAGTTGATTGACCAGAGTAGAGACCACAGGGAGCAGATAGAGGGAGCAGACACCAGCTCCAGACAAAGGACATTTCTGCCTGGGCCTTGGCTAGTCACCACTGGGGGACTTCTCTTCTTCACTGCTTTTCATTGTCAGGAAGTAGATGCGATTGGCCTCTGGGTAGGTGACTTTGCTGAGTGGGAGCTTGTAGATGGCGGGGTTGTTGGTCGTCAGGAGCAGGAAGATGAGGGTGGAGATGCAGAAGGCCCAGGTGCCTAGTGGCATGCCAACCTGAAGATAAAAGCATTGGAGACTGAGGAATGTTCCTAGGCTCCTGTCTTGAGCCAGGGGCCCTGGGGGGAAGGGTATGGAAAGGGTTGAGGATGGGGAGTCTCCCCCATTGAAAGCATTGGTGTTTCTGGAGTCATAATGTCAGAGTAGTTGGTTATGGAATTTGAGATGTGGGTAACTTTGGGCACAATCAGAATCTTTTAATGATGGAGCTGAAAATTAGCCTAGGGATGGTCTTCTGCATCCAGGCATACACCAGTACCTCCATCTGTTCATTCATGTTCCCTACTGCTGGTTACATCGCTCTCTCTTTCATACACACGCGCGTGCGTGCACACACACACACACACTTCAACCGGAGGCAAGTGTACATGCATGCAAGTCCTTCTCTGGACAAACCCTGGATATATCCTGAAGGAGGTGTTTGTGGACACCAGCCACCATAAGCCACTCAGGATTCTTCCATGAGTGTCCTGAGGCCCTGGCTGGGGAAGACACTTTACGGAAGGGTTCAGGAGAGCCCACACTTAACACAGACATTATATTGGAGAGGGCTGCTCCTGTGTACGCACAGAACAGGGCTGTGGAGGAACAAGGACTATCAGAGAGGCAGCTTCCTCCAGCCTGCCCCTGCCTCCTAGCCACTTGCCCAGACCTAGAGCAGAGGCCCCATGCTCTCTCCCACAATATCCAACAATCTTTGTCGATATCACAGTCTTAATGATTATCTGTGCAATTACTTCTCCTTTGCTAGAGTGCAGCTTCATGAGGATAGGTTTCCTATGTGTCTTGGTCACCATTGTACCTTCCATGCCCTAGTCTAGGGCCTGGCGTTTAGTGGTGCTTGACACATAGTTGTTGAATGAAGAGTTATAGAGAGCAGGGATGCTGCCAAGAGCACACGAGAAAATGCGGGTGTGGTTTCCTTGCAAACTTTAAAACACTGTGTAAATATAATAGCAGTAATAATGGCCATTACCCTACTTGATAGAAAAGGAAACTCTAACCCACCAACTGTTACAGACAGCACTGGTGTTAGGCCCCAAGCTGCTGGTCCTTCTACCGCTGATGCTCTACTTATCAGTGGTCACCGTAGGTTTCACTTAACCAAGAAGGGAGAATAATATAGCCAGAGTGACTTGGCTGTCAGCTTTCTTGAATACCCACCACAGAAGAGGGCCAGCAGGCGGGTCTGCCAGGTGAGGGCGTAGAACATGCCTCCAACGGTGATGCAGGAAAGGACGCAGTTGTAGCTCAAGAGGCCCAAGTAGACTGTCTCAAAGGGCGTGGCCACCGACAGGGCTGTGGGACAACATGTGGGGTTTCTGGATGGTTCTGGGTCCCAGCACAAAGGCCACCCTGTGGCTGGCACCAGGTCTCAGGTTGGCAGGCCTGACCCCGCTCCTGTCATTCACTCCACGCCCCAGGCCCTACATGCCAGATGAGCCTCCAAAATGATATCCAGTCTTAGGAAACCAATAATGGTAAGAGAGTGGTGGTTTTCAAACTGTTTTCAGAAGCCAAAAGTTTTCACACACAGGTATGACTGCTTCTGGGGTAAGGGGCAGTCAAAGGGGCTCCAGGCCCTTTCCCATGCCTTTGGCCAGAGCAGCTGCATTTTTAGCAAGGAAGATGTCACTTTAAAAATGGTTCAGAAAATTATGTATATACACATATAGACAGGTATAGGTCAATAGAGACATGTTACAACAAAAGGGCTAAGATGTTAATAACAGGTGAATTTGGGTCAAGAGTTTATGGTGTCTTTTGTACTATTTTTGTGATTTTTTGATGTTTGAAATTATTTTCAAATTAAAAAGCGTTAAAAGTTCTGCTTCCAAAAACTATTTTAAAAACATTGGAATAAGTCAACAGACTCTAACTCTCAAATCCCCCCACCCACTATCAGCCTATACATATATAAATGTGCATATATACATACATGTATATGTATTAAATCACATCGGTCAATTGGCAATCTAATTTTTTGAGAAAACTTTTCCCTTTTTGTTGTTAGTTGCTGTCAAGTCAATTCCAACTCATGGCGACCCCAAGTAACTCCCTGGGTGGTGCAAATGACTAATGTTGGACTACTAACTGAAAGGTTGGCAGTTCAAACTCACCCAGAGGCGTCTTGGAAGTAAGGCCTGGCAATCTCCTTCTGAAAGGTCACAGCCTTGAAAACCCTGTGGAGTGCAGGGCTACTCTGCACACTTGAGGTCGCCATGTTTGCCTACTCAAAATTTCAGCATGCTGGGTCATTTACACCCCTGCTTGGTCTGTTACTGCTCCCCATCTCCTCCCATGTTACCTTCCTCCTCTCACTCCTCAGCACCCAAGAGCCCCATTTACAGGCTGACTGGGTCTTCAGCCCCCTCACGTCTCTCCACATGTCTGGCTGCTGCAATCTGCTCCCTTTGAGACTCAAGAAAGGGAAAAATAAATCCCTACCCCTGACAGTGTCTTAACACTCAAGTGAAGGAACCTTACGTCCAGAGTGTTTGTCATGTGCATGGGAGAAATAACCACAGGAAAAGCATCCCAGGACCTCCCAGCAGAGTGGGGGCTGTGTCCTACCTGCTAGCATCCCCACGATTGAGCCAATGGCCGCATGCAAGCAGATGAGGGGTGAGGAGATGAACAGAGCCACCAGGAACACGCCGCCTGTCCAGGGATTGTCACAGCCGTACACCTGGCCCACCCCAATGGGTATGGCTTGTAACAGCTGCAAAGTCAACAGAGTCCAGGTCACTTGAGCGTAGGCTGATGTGCAGAGGCCGGGCCTCAGGGCCAGGACTGAGCCATTCCTTGGGGAGCAATGGGGTGGAACAGGAGGCTGACTGTGCCCTCCAGAGTGTGAGAGAACAGGAAGGGCAAGAACCAGAACAAATAGCACCTCACTCCACCACCTAGCAGGCATCTGAGCATCCCTCGGGCAAGGCAGACAGACCCCCGACACAGTCTGGGAACTAATGCTTCTGAGATACACAGGCTTCTGCTTGGAGTGTGGAAGCTTTGAGGACACCAGAGAGTCTAGGCAACCAAGATTGCCATTGGAGGTATCAGGGCACTGAGGAATTTTCTCTAGACCTTCTGCAATCTTAAAAATATTCTAGCAATATTGGGAATATTCTAGGAAATGTTCTTAGAAATATTGTAGGCCATTCTTATGGATGATTTGACCAAAGGTTGCACAGTTTGTTGGTGGCCAAGCACTGGCTAGAGCCTCCAACCTTGACTCCTAGTCTAAGACTCCTTACCACCCTCACTGTCTCTCCATCAAGCCACGGCTGACAAGTCCTCGTTGGTAGCTGCTGTATATTCAGTGTTACCTTGGCGTTTGTGGGTGCCCAGGAGAAGGAGACAGCGTTTCCCTGCTCTCAAGGAGCCCTTAGCATTGAGGAAAGGTAGTGTGTGGGGCATCCAGAGAACTGCAGGAAGTCCAAATGTCCCAGAGCTGGAGCGTGACTTGGTGGTGTTGGAATTTGAGATGATTAATTTAGCAGTGAGAGTCCCTGGGTGGTGCAAATGGTTAATGCCTTTGGCTGCTAACTGAAAGGTTGGAGGTTCGAGTCCACCCAGAGATGCTTTAGAAGAAAGGCCTGGCGCTCTACTTCCACAAAATCAGCCATTGAAAATCCTATGGAGCATAGTTCTACTCTGCCATGATTTGGAATCAATTTGACCGCAACTGGTTTATTTGGTAGTGATGTTGGATGGCCTTTCTCTGCCCAGGCTGACTCGTCCACATTTGGCAGTCCTTTTAGGGCAGGAAAGGGGGGAACATGGCAGGGTAGGGAGAGCAGTGGCCTGCGAGTCCAGGGCTCCAGCTTCATTGTGTGATCATGGCACGTCATTTCCTCATTATGGGCTTTGTTGTCCCCCTAGGGCGGCTGGTCTAATAGATGATCCTTCCAGCTTTAACATTCTGTAACTCTTTTCTTCATCACCAAGTCATATGATCTCTTTGAGGACAGGGATCCTTTATGGCTGGGTACATAATAGGTGCTTACTAGATATGTAGTGATTGTGATTAGTTCGGCAGTTCCCAAACTTTGCTGCACATTGGGATCACTTAGGGATCTTAAAAAAAAAAAATACTGATGCCAAGTTTCCCCCTAGACATTCTAATTTAATTGGCATGGGGGGATAGCACCCGGGCATCAGGTGATTCTGAAGTGCAACAGAGTTTGGGGACTACTGGCTTAGTAACAGAGACCCTGGGTGGCATGTATGGTTAAGCACTTGGCTACTAACTGAAAACTTGGCAGTCTGAGTCCATGCAGAAGCTCCGTGGAAGAAAGTCCTGGTGATCTACTTCTGAAAAATCAGCCACGAAAACCCTATGAAGCATAGTTCTACTCTGACACACATGGGGTCACCATGAGTAGAGGTTGACTCCACAGCAGCTGGTTTTTTTTTTTTTTTGGATTAGTTACAGATAATCTACTGTAGAAGCTGGGAGCTGATTGCATTTCTCCCTTTGGATAAAATTTTGTACTTTTTAACAACTTGATTTGATTCTGGAATCAGTCTAATTTCTTTATGGAATAAGTGTTTGAGGAGTCCCAGGGAGCTTTTAAGCTTTGCCCATCTTTGTCTCTGAATGGGTGGCCTTTTAGTAACTAAACACTGTCTAGATCGGAGTCTACAGACTTCCAAAAGGAATGGCAGGGTGGAGCTCAGTGTTCTTTACTCCTGCGTCCACCCCAGGACCTGAGTGGTGGCTCTGAAAATGGACTGGAGAAGTCAGCTTAAGGGTGGGGAACAGGCTGGAAATCTACTCAATAAACACCCCATGACCCCTACAACTTCCCAACATCTGAGGAATGCAGATGCCAAGGGGAATCCAACTTCCACTCTTCCATCAGGGAACACAGGTTTTAAGCCCAAGCAGACAAGAATGAGAGGAATGAGGGAACAAGTTGCCTTGGAATGGAGCCTGGGTTTACAGGGAAGTGTCCTCAGCTGAGATTCGTATTTTAGCCTAGTGAACTGTGGCACTGGGGCACCCTACCCTCCCTCCACGCTGTTCTCGAGGTCACAGACGACACACTGGTGTGAAGGGCAGTCAGGTGTGCAGTGGAAAATTACCGAACACTGGCCTCCTCCAAACTGATAAATTCTCGTGTATCAACAACAAGCTGGTTAAACAAAAAGGAAGCCACTGCCCCACTGTTTTAAGGAGAAAGAGGGAAATGGCATTGATTCTTCAAAACTTGGACCCAAATGGCTTGGAAGAGAAGGAGCCGGTGGTCAGAGTGGTGGTGTGGTGGGGAGTTAAGATGATGAGCTTGGGTCTCCAGGTATCTGAGTTTGGGTCCTGGCTGTACCACTTTCTAATTGCTTATTTTGAAGATGAAGCAAAGAGGCACCTCTTTCCTGTGACCCACAAGACTCTGGTCCTCAGCGCTGGGCTGTGCAGCTTCGCAGTCCGGATGGGGGCTCAGTGGGCCTTTTTCTCTGGTAGTGCCACATGTTCCTGTGGCTGTCACTTGGATAATGGTTTATGGGTAGAGATCAGGGCCAGTGGGGCCAATGAGCCCAAAGGCAGCTTGCCTAATTACCAGAACGCCGGATCATTGATGATTCTTTCAAAGTTTGAGCTTATTCTTGTTCTTGTTCTGGCTGATTTACATGTGAAAGCGTTGTTGTTGTGTCCAATCAAGTGGATTCCAACTCATAGTGACCCTATAGGACGGAATAGAACTGCCCCATAGGGTTTCCTAGGCTGTAATCTTTACAGAAACAGACTGCCACATCTTCCTCCCATGGAGCAGAGCAGCTGGTGGGTTCAAAATGCTGACCTTTCAGTTAGTAGCCGAACATTTAACCCCTACGCCACTAGGGCTTGCCCTTAAATGCAGGGCTGTCTTCGCCATTTTTTTGCATTTAGTTGCTGACACTGCTCTGATCCTACCCCAGTCCCAAGCCCAGACCAAACTTTAAAAAGGTCTTGCAGGGAGACTTTCCTTTTTTTTATAGGTTTAGCAGAGTGTGGCTGTCCCTGGAGGTTGCACCTGTGCTGTGGCCACCCCAGGCCCTGAGCAGTGGCTCTGGATCTGAGCACCCCAGCAGCAGAGCACCACCGAGGTAAACCCACGTAGAGAATAGGCATGGCCTGCATGGTGAGGGCTTGGAAAACAGATCACACAAACAACATTTGAGGACGTGGGTTATATTTTCTAATATCCAAAAGACTATCACGGAAGCAATATTCTCAATTATTCTAGAAAGCAGAGCTAGAACCAGTGAGTGAAAGTTAAGAGAGATTTCTGAGTGTTATGGATTGAATTGTGTCCCTCCAAAATGTGTGTCAACTTGGCTAGGCTATGATTCCCGGTACTGTGTGATGGTCCACCATTTTGTCATCTGATGTGATTTTCCTATGTGTTGTAAATCCTACCTCTATGATGTTAATGAGGCAGGATTAGAGGCAGTTATGTTAATGAGGCAGGACTCAATCTACAAGATTAGGTTGTATCTTGAATCAATCTCTTTTGAGATATAAAAGAGAGAAGTGAGCAGAGAGATAGGGGGAACCTCATACCACCAAGAAACAAAAGCCAAGAGAGCAGCACACCCTTTGGACCCCAGATCCCTGCACTGAGAAGCTCCTAGGCCAGGGGAAGATTGATGACAAGGACCTTCCCCCAGGGCTGAAAAAGACAGAAAGTCTTCCCTTGGAGCTGGCACCCTCAATTCAGACTTCTAGCCTCCTAGACTGTGAGAGAATACATTTCTCTTCGTTAAAGACATCCGCTTGTGGGTTTTCTGTTATAAGAAACAGAGGAATGTAAAGGAGAATATTCCAACGCTTACAGTAACCTAATGATGGGTAGACTGCATTTTGAAGCAGCGGGCTTTGCCTCACTGTGTTCGTTCAAACTTGGATTCCACAGCCAGGTTCACTGGGTTTTAAGCACAGGCACTAGTTTGACCTTGGGCAACTTACCCTCTCTGTACCGAAGTTTTCTCATCTGTAAGAATGGGATAACAATAGTACCTACAATACTGGGTTATTAGGAAGGTTAAATGAGTTAATATGTTAAGTGCTTGGGACAGTGCCTGATACATAGTAAGTCTGCTGTAGTTTTGGTGGTAGCTATCTCTGTTTGTTAACCAGGGCAAATTTTTACAATTCTATGTATTCAATCGTATATTAGCTTTTTATTACATGCCTTTATCTTCCATGTCTAAAAGTCAGTAGAATAAATACATATGCACATTTGTGATAGAAGGATATAAAGCAGGGTTTCTCAAATTCGGCACTATTGACATTCTGGGCTGGATAATTCTTTGTTGTAGGGGCTATCCTGTGCATTGCAGGGTGTTTAGCAGCATCTCTGACCTCTACTGACTAGATTCCAGTATCAACTTCCCCTTCCTTTTTCATTAATCCAAAACGTCTCCTGACATTGCTGAATGTCCCCTGAGGGGGCAAAATCCTGTGGTTGAGAACCACTGATACCGTGAATACATGAAAACTCACCCTCTGCCCTCTATTGATAGTACCTTTTAAAATTTTAATTTTAAATGTTTATTTTAGTCTCTGATCCCTTTGTCAAACTATGCATCTTATCTAATATTTTCCCTTTAGCTTCCACCATTCTATATTGTCAAGTTAATACTTATTTGTTCATTTGTTTATTATTTGTTTCTCCATGTAGAGTGTAAGCTTCACAAGGGCAGGGATGTTGTCTGTCTTATTCCTGTGTATTCACAGTATTGGAATAAGTGCCCAGTACATATTAGGAGTCATATAAGGGTTTGTTGAATGAATGTATGGATGTGGCAGCAGCCCTTTCCTGCCCTCTTCTCTCCTGAGCCCCATCATCAGGTGGAGATTCATCTAAAGAAACTGCGAGCATGGGTAATCCACAAACTAGTTAGTGAGGTCTGCGGTAGAATCAGAGTCCCAACTCCTCTGTCGTTGGGTAACTTACCAAGGGCATTTCAATCTCTGTCCAGGTGATGTTGGGCACTGAAGACACAGGCTCCACCAGTGTCGTGGGGAAGAAGAGGTTAATAGTGGCCTGTGGCTGCCAGGTATAGGGTCACCACAACGTTGAAGGGCAAGGTGAAGACCGGGAGGTCCCACTTGCTGAAGATGGAATTCAAGGCACTAGAAATAACTGGGCTAAAGATGGAAGAAACATAGAGTTAATCATATCCTTAGGTTTGTGGCCACCGTATCATACACTGTACCCTCTCCTTGGCACATGGATTCCTGGCTCCTTTGAGACTGTAGTGGTCCATTGGTCTGGGGTTGGGAATAATGTGCTCAGTGTAAGCAATTGTTCTAGACATTTGAAGCTTACTTCTTTGAGAAACAAACTGTAAAATTATCATGACTTGTTTTGAATAGAAAATTAAAAAATATATATATTTTTGTTTCTTAAACCACAAAAACTAAACAAAATATAATCTTTTCTTTTGCTTTTGGATCATCAAAATGCACAATGGCTATTGTCCTGGTCTGTGACACCACTTTTGAAGTCTGACCTTCTGGGAGGAGTGTTCTGTGGTACTTAGGTAAGCAAAGGCATGGATTCAGCACAGAGATATGCTGAGATACTCTAGAAACTGCCAGGTGAAATGAAACCTTCAGTTTGGATTTTGGAGACAGATAGAACTGGTTGCAAATCCTAACTCCTACACTTCAGGCTGAGTGATCAACCTTAGCTAGTTAATTTCCCTTAGCTCTGGTTTCCTCTGGAAGGGACCAGCCACTCTAGCTTTACACCCTATATCTCCCACCTTCAGTGAGCTGCTGGACAAAACAAGAAATCACATAATTGTGTTGATGGCTCTGCCTTTAATTAATGACCATGAATCTCAAATGGGCATTCAAGACTTCCTGAGAGTTCTATTACACATCCCTAGCAAATTAACTCTCCAACTTGCTGAGACAACTATTTCATGTTTTCTCTTTTCTCCTCAAATCTTCATTATCTGTGTCCCTTTAGTCTCAGCTAACCACCTTGATTACTTCATTAAGAAAATACATGTCATGGGAACAGAAATGCTTCACTTTCCCAACCACAAAACTTACACCCTGCCTGATTTGTCCCTACAAACTCTGCCTCCCTGTCTGTTTCATATAATGGAAGTAGTGGCACCGCTCCTTTATCAGGCTGATTCTTCTCTTCATACTCTGGATCCAATTGTCTCCTGGGCTTCACACCTGAGATTCTCTCCTCTCTCTCTGTAGCTCTCTCCTTCTCCTCTGGATCACTCTCATCAGTATAGAACATGCTCTAGTATCTTCTACCTTTAAAAAACATTCCCTTTTAACCTATGTCCCCTCTGACTATTGTCCCATTTCTCTGTTCTCCTTCACAGGAATACTCCTCAAAAGGGTTGACTCTCTTTGCTATTCCCAATCAGTCCCATTACTTTCTTTCCTAAGCCCACTCCAGTCAAGCCCATGTCTTCACCATGCGACGGAAATGACTCTTGTCCAACTCACTAATGACATCTATCTTGTCAAAAATCAATGGTCAATTCCCTGTCCCCTTTGTTTGATAGCTGGACCTTCCCACTGTGTTGAAACAGTTTCTCTCTAGGGAGCCATGACACTGGGCTCTTTAAGTTTTCTTCTTGCCTCTCCAGCTGCTCCTTCTCAAGTCTTCTTCTGTGTTCCTTACCCTCTTCTACCAGACATTTAAATGTTGGAAGACTCTAGGGCTCTGTCTTAGGTCTTCTCTTTTTTTTTGTATCCTCTTGCTGGGTCATATCTTTTAGTTACTTGGAAGAAATGCCTTCTGTATGCTTCTGCCTTCCAAGTCTTCACCACATTACTAAGTTTCAGATTGGTATGTCCAACTACTACCTCAATAGCTCCACTTGGAAGTCTAAAATTTAATTGGTCCAAACAAAACTCTTGATTTGCATTCCCCTTGCCTCCACCAACCTGTTTCAGTCTTCTCCACCAACCCAGATGCTCAGGAAAATTCTAGGAAGTGTATTGAATCTTCTTTCCTTTTCCCTCCTCATACTCACAGCCTCCCTACAAGTTCTGTTGCCTCTACTCCCAATCCAACCAATTCCCACCACCTTCATGGATATCATCGTAGTCCAAACCATCTCTCTGCTGGTTATTGCAGCAGATTCCTGACTGTGCTTCCCCTATCCACTCTGGCTCTGGTTAAAATCCATTCTCTACACTGCAAGCAGAGTGAGTTGTTTAATTAAACCATATCCCATCACTCCTTTGCTTACACTCCTTTAACTGCTTCCTATCACAGCTGTAATAAAATGAAAAGGCTTACTGGATCTATGAAGGGGCCAGGAACTGGCTCTCGCCTGTTCCCTGACCTCACCTCCTGCCATTCTTCCTTCATTCCTTGGGTCTCTCTGGTCTTGCTTCTGTTTCTTGAACACATCACACTTCCCCAGTTGGGGCATCTGTGTATGCTGCTTCTTCTGCCCCAGCACCCTTCACCCAGATCTTCACATGGCAGGCGCCTTCTTATCGTTTAGGTGACAGCTCAAATGGTCCCTCTGCAAAGAGGCCTTCCCTGACCATTCACTTCTGGAATCCCTCTCTGTCCCATTTGCCCTGTTTTGCTTTCCTCAAAGCGCTTATCGCATCTTAAAATTTTCTTTTTTATTAGCTGATTCATGAGTTTATTGTTATTTCGCCAAGAAGGACGTAAACTCCAATAAGACAGAGACCTTCCCTTGTTCACAGCTATCCCCAGTATCTAGAACAGTCCCTGCACATAGCAGGTGCTCAACAAATATTTGTTTGTGGGATAAATCTGGAAAATGGAACTACTAATACCTACCATATAGACTGAATTTCAAGGACTACGTGAAAGGATTAGTGAATGAACTGAATTAGAAGCAGAGAGCCTAGCCCAGAGTAGGGGTGCTCAATGTTTTCTTGTCTTTTAAACTGGAAGTGTGGGGGGGATACTGAAGACAAACTACCACCCAGTGCAGTGTGGCTGAGGGGCTGTGCAAAGGAGCTTAATCTATCTAGTTATGAACCAAATGTATGCAAATGAAGATGAGTTCTCCTGTTCCTCACACACGGGCATGTGGGAGGCATTAAGGAACTCCCCACTGAAATGACTGCTTTAGCTTTTTGTCCCAACCAATTAAGAAAGAAAGAAACCCTAAGAAGAAAAATAAATTGCCTGGAATACTTAATGTAGTAATTTATTTGCAAGCACTACTAAAAAGTAATGAAACAGTATTTAAGCTAAATTAAACGAACTGGTTTTAGTAACTCCAGAGTTTGAACCAAAGGAAGACATCTACTTCTCAGAGAAGTTAAAAATAAATCACCATGTCTGGCAGGCATTGAGCACAGGGTGGTATATGTATGTGAGGCCAGGGGTTGGGCGACAAGGATCCATCTCAGGCTTTCTGCCCTGTGTGAAGGCAAGTATGCTACTGACACCCTTGGAGCCTCCACAGACAGACCTGCTGTTAATTCCAGTGAATGAAGGATTGTGTGTAAAAGGCCTAGAACATCCCTGCACTCACCTCCCTTCCATCTTGACCTTTTTATTCTATTTGCAAAATGAAGTGATCATATTGAAAGATCTCAACTGGTACTTCAACTTCAAAGATTCTACACTTAAATATAGAAATTCTGTTCAAGGAAAGTCCTCTGATTCTATCACAAGGGAGTTTTCGGGTTTTGAGTCTTGGTTGGGCCACAGAAGAGATGATTCCCACGTACCTGTTGTTGAAGAATGTGGATTCGGGTCAGATGGCCAGCATTCAGAAACCTTTGCAGGGTATGACCTGGGGCAAGCTAGTTAACTTCTGCTTGCCTCGATCTTCCTTTCTGTAAACTGGGGGCAATAACAACCTGACTTTGCTTAGCACTGTGTCTGGCATGTAGGAAATACTCAATAAATGTTAGCCTTTATTATAAAGTCTATTGTTTAAGGAAGATTTTCAGCACAACAACTACTTTATGGGTCATTAGCCCATATTCAAAAACGACCCCATTGTGTTGTAACTGAACTCAGACTTTCACAGTGTTTTGCTAGACAAACCAGCCTGAGTATAAAGATGCTGCACCCTACAAGGGTGCAGGTCCCTGCCCAGTTTAAGACCTAGGCACCTCAGGGCCCTGTGGATCTGTGAGCAGAAAGAATGAGATGCCTCACCAGGCCATGGAAGCGAAGGTCACAGGAAACAGAAGCCACCAGTAGTAGTCTAACTTGTCAGAGAACACCGCGATCAGCAGCCCCACCAGAATCCCGTTGTACCCGTGCAGTCCAGAGGCGATGGCGGACCTGGGGTGAAACAGAGTCACTTTGCGTTTGAATTTGGTGATGCTTATCAAGGCCCTCCTCTTACTTTGAGGCTATGCTTAATTTAGATGAGTCCTTTAAGAAAATCACATAGAAAAAAGTCAGCTCACTCCACGAATGTTGGGCAGCCACATAGCTGCCAGCACCTTCTTGCGTAGATGTAAAAAAAAAAAATAGTATGAAAAAAAAAACAAAACCAAACATGTTGCTGTCGAGTTGATTCCGACTCGCAGTGACCCTATAGGACAGAAGTAGAACTGCCCCCATAGGGTTTCCAAGGAGTGGCTAGTGGGTTCAAATTGCTGACCTTTTGGTTAGCAGTCGAGCTCTTAACCACAGCACTACGAGGGCTCCAAAATTAGTATACTGCGCTTAAAAAAATAACTCGTGAGGGGAGGGCGTGATTGGCAAAAAAACAAATAAAAAACAACTTATAACACACATTATTTGCGTAAAAACACAGTAACTAGAATTAAATTATGCACTTCTGTCTTATCTGTGGCTAAGCTCTCCTCTGCCACTCAGGGGACTCTCAGACTGTTAGGTGTAGAGGGAAATCTGCAGTGACTCTTTGAACGGCTTGGGCAAGTTTACCAGCAGATATGGCCAGTTGGGAGGAAAATCAGAGAATCAGGCTGTTAAAGCAGGAAGGGACGCTGGCCTATCTAAGCTGAACTGTCTGTCTCACAGATGAAGACACTGGGGCCCGGAAAAGAAGTGCTTGTCTGGGGCACAAAGCAAACAAGTCAGTGGGCTGGATAGAGCTCATACCCGGTGGGTTTCGGCAACCCGTGATGAGAGAAAGCAGTAAGATGTGAGTTGATCCTGTCAGGGGCCAATTCTATACCAGCTGCCCATGAGATCATAGGTAAATGGAAGCCACACAGAGGGAACCCACAGGTTGAAACAAGACACAAAATCACGGCTGGAGCCTGTTTTTCATCTCCCCTGCCCCAAAAGAATTGAGCCTCTCATCCATCTACCCTCAAATGATCTCGGGCTTGCTAAAATCACAGTGACTTCCTCAAAGCCAATGGAGATGTCAGGAGCAGCTTCTCCCCCAAGACAAGCCTGCCCATGCATTTGCCTCAGTGGACTCAGGAGTGCCAGATGGGCTGGGAGGAAGTGTGACGTCGGTTACAACTCAACCAGCTCCAATTGCTCCTGTGACTCTGGGTTCCCTAAGGGGCCTCTGGTTGCCCTGCCCACATGGGTGCCACGACAGGAAGAGCTCAGCCCTTGGATATGGAAGATGCAGGCCACACTTTCGAGTCCTGCTACTCACTGGCTGTGGCACCTCAGGCAAGTACTCTACTCCCCACAGTCTCCTTTTTCTCACTGGCAAAATGCAAACCTTATGACTTTCCCTATCTGCCAGGTAATAATGCATTACAAAGTAATCACTGTGAGGAATACGTTTCATACTATGATCAGTTTGTGTGTTCCCTCTCTTAGTCTCTCTGTTGCTCTCTCTCGCCAGTATAAATACAACAAAAATTTCACAAAGTAATAGATCCACAAACAGATTACAAAAACCAAACCAAATCTATTGCCATCAAGTCAATTCCAACTCACAGTGGCCCTATAGGACACAACAGAACTGCCCCAAAGGGTTTCCAAGGAACGGCTGGTGGGTTCGAACACCCAACCATTGGTTAGCAGCCATAGCTCTTAACCACTGCACCACTAGGGCTCCAACAAACAGATTGGTGACCCATAAATCGAAAAACACTAAGTATGGGATGAAGGAGCCCTGGTAGCACAGTGGTTAAAGCGCTCGACTGCTAACCGAAAGGTCGACAGTTCAAACCCACCAGCTGCTCTGTGGTGAAAAGATGTGGCAGTCTGCTTCTGTAAAGATTTATGGCCTTGGAAACTCTATGGGGCAGTTCTACTCTGTCCTACAGAGTCTCTATGAGTCAGAATTGACTCGACGGCAATGGGTTAAGTACGGAATAATCCAGTGTTTCCCAAACTTGCTGACCATCAGTAGTACCTGGCAGTATAGTGGTGATGGGTGCGCAGCTTGACTGAGTGTAATTAATGTCACTGAATTGCACATACAAAAAATGTTGACATGGCAAATGTTTTGTTACCTACATATTTACCACAATAAAAAAGGTTGAAATGATAAATGTTTTGTTACTTACATATTTATCACAATAAAAAATATTGCAATGGAAAAGGTTTTATTATATATACTTGTATCTCACACACACACACACACACACACACACACACACACACACATAAACTGTAAAAAACAAAACAGAACAGATTCCTGAGCCCAGATCCACTGAGTCAGAATATTTACGGAGGGTGGGGGATGGGTGAGGCTGAGAGGCACCCCATGTGATTCTGACTGTCAGGGAAGTTTGGGAGCCGTTGGAATAACGTATGGCAAAGTCTGAGGAAATGGTCAAGTTTTACAAAATGCTAGTTGTTATTGTTCCTCGACTTTGCGTCTAGTGCCTGCCTCCAGCCAGCGCGGGCTTCTCCACTCCTGCCAGCCTGTGCCCTGAGTTGCTCCAGCTTGGTCTCCTTCCTGCACCCTGCTCTCCCCTCTCGCTTCCCCTCCTCTCCCCATAGCCAATGGCTCAATGGTTGCCCTCCCTAATCTCCCACTGGGACTAATTTACTGATGTCTGCCTTCTCTGAACTCTCGATTACATACTGTTTTGTATTATCCCAAGAAATTTCCTGCTCGTTAATCTGTCTCCCTCAACTAGATTGTGGCCTCCAAGAAGGCAGGACAGCTTTCACTAAAGATAAGGAGGTTCTTCTGTTCCTCACTCAGAAGGGGTGTACAGAGAAGACACTGCAGTCATGTGGGGCGTGGTGCTGTCCCTTGCTGTAAGCACTAGGAGTTGTTTTGTTCTGTAAGGACCTCCCGTGACTTGGTCAAAGTTGATACCCAGGAGACTGGGCTGGCTGGGAGGATAAGGTTGGCTGATCATTCAGGTAAACACCTCTCCACCTGTCTGCCCCATGCATCTTGCCAAACCCCCATAGAGGGGACTCACCTGTCCTGGCTCAAGGCAAGGGCAGTTAAGGTCGAGACCACATCTCCCAGGCCCCCAGTAATTGTCCACCAGGGATTCTGGATCAGAAGTCCAATGAAGATGATGAGCCCGCTAAGAGGGTTGTTGACGAACATCACCTGAGCAGCACCCCTCAGGACCCAGTCTATGAACTGGAGGGCCAGGGGCTTATCTGGACGAGACAGACAGAGCCATCAGCTGGGTCCAGCCTGGACCTCCCTGCTGGGCCACTGGCTGATGTGACAACCAAAGCAGACAGGGATGCACAAGCCTGGTGGGGTTGGGGGGAGGGTGGTTGGTGCCCAGCCCAAGTCCCTGAGTGGCTCAGCAATCAGCTGCAGTGGGTGGTGGTTTTTGCCATAGAGATGGAGAACCCGTGCTGAGACCAATTTAACATTGTTCCAGCCACTGGCTTGGTTGGCAAGGAAGCCCCAGAAGCATTCCAAGGGAAATGCATTGGTGGGTGGGGGAGGGAAGACAACTCTTTTTGCACAGTGCTGTATAACCCAGTTGAGGGCTATTATCTGGGCAGCAAAGAAAGTAGCCTGGAGGCAGAGAAAGGAAGCTAGGAAAGAAACTGTTTAGACCAGCTGTAAAAATCAGTATTGAGTCAGGGCCAGGGGGAAGTCAGGTCTAGAAGAGGGGACATACATTCTGCTCCCTTCTCTAGTTTGGTTTCCAGAACAACCCGTGCTGGTGGGGGCAGGTGGGGCTGGATAAGTGGGGGGTGTTTTCTGCAGCATGTAGCTCAGGGAAGTGAGGAATGGGAAGAAGTTAAAAGAAAAGAACCCAGAAACATTGGGGAGGGTGATGCCAATATTTTCTTGGTACATACTAGGCACATAATAAAAGCCTACGGAACAAGTGAAGGGTCCACCATTCAGCTTGTTTGGGAAATGGCATGTATGTTGCTAGTGTGGTTGTCCTGGATTCGGTGTAGGAGTGAACAGTTTGCAAAGAACTTAGCCCAGTGAAGTGTGTTTAATTCTGAAACTATGGGAATGTTAGGGCAGTGGTTAAGAGCTCGGCTGCTAAGCAAATATTGGCAGTTTGAATCCACCAGCCACTCTTTGGAAACCCTATGGGGCAGTTCTACTCTGTCCTATAAGATTGCTATGAGTCAGAATTGACTAGATGGCAATGGTTCATTTTTTGGGGGTTACATCATGCCCACCCAGAGTCAACCCAGGGCTGTAGCTGTGCAGCCTAGAGAGCCTTGCCATGGTGAGTGAGGGAGCAGCTTCCTCAGTGAGGCCAGAGGGAGGGCTGTCTCCCTGGCCTGGCCCAGCTGCTCCCACCAGGCATTCACCTACCTTTCAGCCAGCTCCTCCACTCCTTCTTCTCGCCTGTGAGGTAGCCCACCGCCTGGAAGAGGTTGATGCCCCCATGGCCTGCAGAGCCCTGACAGGCCACCTCACTTTCTCTCCTTTTACTCCTTTCATTGGGCTTTTCAATTTTCACAATGTGGCTATCTTCGTTGGATGACCGAAGATCCTTTCAGGAGAAGCCATGACAAAATGTCAAATAAGATAGCTTTCAGGGAACAGGGGTATTAGGGGTGGAGGAGGGTGTCAGTCTTTTGGATAAAGATAAAGGACCATGAGGTCAAAGGGTACGACACATACTCATCAACTAATGCTACTCAGAGTGCCCCACGTGGGCCTGCTCTTCCCAGGACTACTATTCATTCTACATTCAGGGATTCTTAACCTTTTATGCTATGGGTTCCTTCGGTAGTTTGGTGATGCCTCTGGACTTCTTCCCAGAATAATATTTTTTAAATACATAAAATAAAAAGGATTACAAAGAAAACCAATTATATTGAGATGTTGTTACCAAAATATAAAAAGAATGTGATATACTTGCATGTGTGGTGGATCTAATTATCATTATAATTTTAAAATACTAATGAGTGAATACATGGGATCCCTTCACCCCAACTTAGGACAGCTCTGTAGGCTCACCTCAGCTCCAGAGCTCACCATAGGATCGACTAAGGCCTTTATCGGTACTGCATCACAGCCCAATTTCTCCGGCTACCTTCACTACACTACAAGTATTGATCCCAAGAGTACTTCCCAGTAAACTTACACACAAATCTCCATCTCAGCGTCTGCTTCCTGGAAAACCCAATCCCTGACAGTGGCACAAATCTCATGTTCTGCTGATATAACTGTTGCTCATTGCCCATATTCATAATTGAAGGAAATGCTGAAGTTCATTGGAAGTTAGTGAAAATAAAGATCAATTATTTCCCTCATCCAAGTTCATACTCCCTTCAATTCTATCTGTGGACCCCTTGGCCAGGAATCCATGCTCTAGAGCTAGTCTGTCTAATATGGCAGCCAGTAGGAGATACAGCTATTGAGTGCTTGAAATGTGGCTAGGCTAATCTGAGATGTGCTTGAAGTGGATTTTGAAGAATTAGTATGAAAAAAGAATGTAAAATATCTCAATGAGATTTTTTATTGATTACATATCAAAATAATATACATAAGGCTGAATGAAATGTATTATTAAAATTAATTTTGTTTCTTTTTTACCATTTTTAATGTGGTTACTAGAAAATTTAAACTTACACATGTGGTCCACTTTATATTACTACGAGACAGTACTGATGTAGAGATTTTCCTAGCCTCTTCCTTGCATCAAATCTTAACAGTTTTGAGGACATCAGTGAAAATGGTGGTATAAGGACCTTCAAAATTCTTTCATCCATAAAAACAACAAGAACAGTGGGAAAAATTGTGCCTGAGTTGGATACATTTGGGCAAACTATAGGCTAATCAAAAAGCTTAAAAGGAAAAGCTGCTGATGCACCTCAGCAGTGCTTAGAGGGAAGTTTAGAAGAAAGAGCTCAAATCAATACCTTAATCTTTGGTTTTAAGAAACTGGAAAAAGAAGAGCTAACTAAACTCAAAGCAAGCACAAAAACCAAAACCCTCAAAAAAGAGAGAGAGAGAAGATTCAACTAAAATCTAGAATGAAAGCGGGACATTACTACTACCTTAGAAATATAAAGAGGATTATAAGGGTTACAATGGACAATGGTAGGATAATAAATTAGAGAAATTAGGTGAAATGGAAAAATTCCTAGAAGGACACAAACTACAAAAACTACTCAAGAATAAATAGAAAATCTTAATAAACCTCTAACAATTAAGAGATTGAATTAGTAAAAACAGACCAACAAACAAAAAACTTCCCACAAAGAAAAGCCCAGTTGCAGGATATAAGATCAATATACAAAATAAATTTTATTTCTATACACTAGCAATGAACAATCCAAAAATAAAATTAAGAAAACAATTTCATTTATAATAGCATCAAAAAGGATAAAATCCTTAGGAATAAATTTAATAAAATAAGGGCAAGGCTTATACATTGAAAACTACAAAAACATTGTTGAAAGAAGTTAAACACCTAAATAAATGACAAGACATGCTGTGTTTGTAAATCCGAAGATTTAATATTCTTAATATTGATCTACAGATTCAATGCAAACCCTATCAAAATCTCAACTGCCTTTTTTTCTTTTCTTGCAGAAATGAACAAGCAGATCCTAAAATTCATTTGGAAATGCAAGGGACCAAGAACAGACAAAACAATCTTGAAAAGAAGAACAAAGCTGGAGGATTCACACTTCCTGATTTCAGAGTTTACCACTATGCTACAGTACTCAACACTGTGTGGTGCTGGTATAAGGACAGACATAACTTAATGGAATAAAATTGAGAGTTCAGAATTCAACCCTTACATTTATGGTCAATTCATATTGATAAGGGTACCAAGACAATTCAATGGGTAAAGAATAGTCTTTTAACAAATGGTACTTGGGCAACTGGATATGCACATGCAAAAGATTGAAATTGGACCCCTACCTCATACCATATACAAAAATTAACTCAAAATGGATCAAAAACCTAAGACTAAAACTATAAACTCTTAGAAGAAACCTAAACCCACTGCCATCGAGTTGATTCCGACTCATAGCAACCCCATAGGGTTTCTAAGGTCGTAAATCTCTACGGAAGCCGGATGCCATATCTTTCTCTCCCAGAGCTGCTGGTGGTTTTGAACGGCTGACCTTTTGATTAGCAGTCGATTGCTTTAACCGCTGTGCCACCAGGGCTCCTTCTTAGAAGAAAACATAGGTGTAAATCTTTGTGACCTTGATTAGGCAACAATTTCTTAGATATGACACCAAAAACACAAGCAATCAAAGAAAATAAAAATAAATTGGACTTAATTTGAATTAAAAACTCTGTGCTTCAAAGGACACTGTCAAGAAAGTAAAAAGACAACTCCCAGAGTGGGAGAGAATACGTGTAAATCATGCATCTGATAAGAATCTTGTATTCAGAATACATAGAGAACTATTATATAGTTAACAACAACAACAACAAAAACCCAAATAATCCAAATTAAAAATGGACACAAGATTTGAATAGATATTTCTTCAAAGAAGATGGAAATGCAAGGGGCCAATAAGCACCTGCAAAGATGCTCCACATCATTAGTTATTATGAAAATGCTAACAAAACCACAGTAAGATGCTACTTCGTACTCATTCGGATGGCTACAATTAAAAAGATTGATAATCCCCAGTTTTGGCAAGGCTGTAGAGAAATTGGAACCCTCATTCATGGCTGATGGAAGTGTAAAATGGTATAGTCTCTTTGGAAGACAGTTCAATAGTTTCTCAAAATGTTAAACATAGAGTTACCATATGAGAAACAATTCCGCTCTGGGTATATACCCAAGAGAACTGAAAACACATATCTATGTAAAAGCTTATAAACAAATGTTCATAGCAGCATTATTCATAGTAGCCAAAAGGAAGAAACAACTCAAATGACCAGCAACTGATAAATGGAAAAATAAAATGTGGCAGGTCCATGCAATGGAATATTATTCAGTCATAAAAAGGAATGAAATACTGATTTATGTTATAACATGATGAACCTTGAAAACATTATGCTAAATGAAAGAAGCCAGTCATAAAAGGTATGTATTATATGATTTCTGGAGCCCTAGTAGCACAGTGGTTAAGAGCTTGGCTGCTAACCAAAAAGATCAGCAGTTCGAATCTACCAGCCACTCTGAAACCCTATGAGGCAGTTCTACTCTGTCCTACAGGGTTGCTCTGAATCTCAATCAACTCAATGGCATCTGGCTTGGTTTTTTGGTATATGATTCCTATTATATGAAATGTCTGGAATAGATAAACCCATAGGGACAAATACTAGATTAGGTTTCCAGGGGAGGAGAGAGGTGGATAGTGACTGCTAATGGGTATGGTGGTTTCCTTTGGGGGCAACGAAAATATACTAGACTTAGATAGTGGTGATGTTTGCATAACTTTGTGAATATACTAAGAACCACTTAAATGTACACTTTAAAGGGTGAATTTTATTGTATGTGAATTATATCTCATTTCAAAAAACCTACCTTAATAGCCTTGTCTCTCTGTGCTGGCAAGCCAATCTACATCTGTGCTCCTGTGTTCAGTGGGTTCTAATGGCCTGCATTTTAACAGAGGCCTTCTTTTTAGAGACAGTAGGTAATAATTCAAGGGAGCAGGTCTTAGGAGAATGATTTTGGACACTGGTGGGAAGGCTGGTGTGTGAGTGTGTGTATTCTCTACTTGCCCATGAAATCATGCCTCACACAGAGCTACATATTCTGTCTACGGCTAAGTAGGACAGGTGTAACCACGGATTGACTGGGGCAGACTCTCCCAGGGCAGTTGCAACTCCAGGGTACATATGAAGTGTGTTGGGAAGCTGGGCAAGCAGCATCTTTCACTATCCTTCTCCCCTGCCCCAGCACCTGTGAAACATCGCCGTGAAACATCACAGGAGGGACATGCCTCACCTTTTCTTCAGGCATTTCCAGGAGGGGCAAGGCTGGATGTGTGTCCTGGGAGCCTGAGGGCCAGTTAGGGCTGGTAAACTCTGATTCGTAGAGTTTGTATCTGCTGGAAAGAGGTTCTGCCAGTAGAGGGCTGCTGTGGTGGTCAGACATTTCCTTCAGGGGGCGGCTGTTTATCTGGCCTACAGCTGGGGAGAGGGAAAGAACAGGTGAGTCAGGATAGTGGTGCACAGAAGGCTGAGGCTGGGTTGAGACCTCGGGAGATATGAGGTCTGCCCTGAGGGGGTGAGCAGTGGCATACACGGGACCTACTATTCCAGTAGCCTGTGCTACCAGGGGGGCCTAGAGCCATTCCTCCATCCGTCTGACCTTTGCCTTTCAAACTTGCCCGATTCCTCCAAGTTCAGAGAAAAGTTCATTTTGCTGTGAAGACTTCCCTGACCACGCAGTTAGAATGAACGTCTCTCTTTCTCCTGATTACTGAAATACTTTTTTCTCTACCTTTTAACATTGCATCTTGTACTGTCGAATATGGTTGTTGTTAGCTGCTGATGAGTCGGCCTCTGACTCCTGATGATCTCATGTACGACAGAAGGAAACTGCCCAGACTGTTGTGATTCATAAGGTTTTCAATGACTGATTTTCAAAAGTAGATTGCCAGGCCTTTCTTCCTAGTACATCTTAGTCTGAAAGCTCTGATGAAACCTGTTCAGCATCATAGCAACATGCAGCATGCAACCCACTACTGACAGATGTGTAGAGTCTGCATATGAAGTGCATTGACTGGGAATCAAACCCAGGTCTTTCACATGAAAGGCAAGAATTCTACCATGGAGCCACCAATGCCCCATATGACTGTTAGTTGTATGTATATTTTCCTTTTGATACATACAAACAGATCCAGGTTTTTCAATTGTGTCGCATGTAAGAAAAACTCAATTTCTCAAGTGCTGTTGTTGTTAGGTGCCATCAAGTCATTTCTGACTCACAGTGACCCTATGTACAACAGAATGAAACATTGCCCGGTCCTGTACCATTCTCATAAACTTTGCTATGTTTGAGCCCATTGTTTCAGCCACTGTGTTAATCCATTTCATTGACGATCTTGCTGTTTTTCGCTGACTCTCTACCAAGCATGGTATCCTTTTCCAGGGACTGGTCCGTTCTGATAACATGTCCAAAGTACGGGAGATGAAGTCTTGCCATCTTCACTTCTAAGGAACATTCTGGCTGTACTTCTTCCAAGACAAATTTGTTCATTCTTCTGGCAGTCCAGGGTATATTCGATATTCTTTGCTAACACCATAATTCAAAGGCATCAATTCTTCTTTGGTCTTCCTTATTCATTGTCCAGCTTTTGCATGCATATGAGGTGATTGAAAATACCATGGCTTGCGTCAGGCACATCTTAGTCCTCAAAGTGACGTCTTTGCTTTTTAACACTTTAAAGAGTTCTTTTGCCGCAGATGCTATGGAGCCTATATTCCTTACAGCTGACTTCAATCTCCCTTATCTCTCTATAGACCTCAGTGCCCTCCAGCTCCTTCTTCTTCTTCCTTTCCGGGGGGAGCAAGAAGCTCTGGTATATTCTACCAGAATCAGTGTGCATTCAGGCAGGTGGTCCTCCCTGCTCTACCTGGGACTGCTTTCCCCTCACCACCATACCCAGGGCATATGCCAGGACTTAACTTTTAGAACCTCCTCTGCCTAAAGTCCTCAGGTTCCTGGTTTAGTTTGGCTCCCCACCCCACACCATCCACAGGCTGTGCTCCACTGCGCTCTCCCATTCAGTCATGTTAACTGGTCTTCTTTGGCTTCCTCCATCTAATTTTGTCTTCATTTACTTTATTGGCTTTTTTTTTTCTTTGGAGAGATGGTTTTGGACCTGTGCATAGTCTTCTCTCAAAATGAGGACACAAAGTAACTGCTCAATGAATGGTAGCTTTCATTGTCATTATCATCATTATTAGCATTATCAGCTGCGAAGTGCTGGGGGAGTTCAGAGAATTGGACCTGCTCTACTTGAGTAACTGTGGGCAAGTCACTCTCGATTCTTGGCCCCAGTTTCTTCATCTATTACGTGAGAGATTGTATTTTTTAAGGATCTCTTCCTGCATTAAACATTCCAGGATCCCATTATT